AAAAAATGGACGATGGTAAAAACTTTTGAAGGCAGGAAGGGGGGGATGTCAATTTTTTTTAAATGCTTCATGAGAGATTAAGTTTTTTTACTGGCATTATTGATAAACCACTTATTTCTTAGTTAGTTCAAAGATATTTACTTCAGGTTTTCGTATTTCGCGCGTTTATGGACAGCAGGCCACGAGCTGTGTTGCTTTCGCTTTCTTTTCGTTTACGCTTGAATATTACTGCACAAGTTTAGTGAAAGAATAACGGAAAGACATAATTATGAACAGGATTGATCGCATTTATAGCGAAAAGTCTTAGTGTGTTTCGACTGGGATAGACTCGAGATAACCTTATTGTCTCATGCTGTTTTCTGAAGTACTGTCTACGAAAGAGCACATTAAGCTTTTAATTATAGCGGTTTTTTCCGAATGGTCAAGTTGGAAGTTTTTCTTCTTTAATTTCATCATTTAACATTGATCGAGGTCGAAGAAGGTGAGATTTTTCGTTAAATCATCCGGTAGATATAGGTTTTATAGTTTAATTTCGGCCGGGAACTGTTGTTTTGATTCCCTGCATGAAGGCTCGGCCTCAAGACTCACAACTTTTGGGTGACAAACTAATGTATTTTTGTGTGGGGAATTGTAAGTATTTTTTCCTTTGTTTTTCATTCAGAAAACGAGGTTTTAATTAAACATAAAAAAGAGTAGATTTAATGCTAGGTCTGTAAGTAATTTTACTCGTTTTTTCGGAAAACTTGTATAATTTAAGAAAACTGCTACGAGATTGCAAAGAGATCGCCATGTTTGTTCTGCTTAATTACTATATGACAACTGAAATTCACTGCTAATAAATAAAACATTAAGCTTGCATTTGATTTAATTTTAATACAACATTTTGCCATACATAAAATGGCCTTAAACGTGAGTGTTAATAATAAAAATTGCGCTTATCACTTGCGTGGACTTGATGATTTACACTTTTAGATAAATGCCTTTTGTGGGGGGTAGATTAAAACGATGATCTTCTACAGAAAATGTTCGCTAGAGTTCTGTAACTACAGTAACTTCTATTTTCATAGAAGTTCTGCTTTCATTCGCAAATCTTTGATGGAAAAAATTACTATGTTTAGCTACTTTCCGGGATTGATGAGCGTGTGAGAACCATAAAAGACACCGTTATGACGACATCATAATGGGATTTTATGGCAAGGCATTTCATAATGGTTTGCAGGCCAAGGCGGCAGGTTCCAAGCCTATCTTATTTCCAGCCAATCAGAATTTAGGGCGTTCCGGACTATATCATTCTTAGGGGCACCTTTCCATGTGTTCGCCCCCTTTCGATCGCTCACCATCACGTTGTTCACATCGCTGGTTTGAACCAATTTT